CATTAAATCCACCTTGTGCCTCCTCCAGGATCTCAAACCCATCCTGAGCCTCCTCCAGGGTCATTAAATCCATCCTGGGCCCCCTCCAGGATCCCAAACCCATCCCGTGCCCCTCCCCAACCAGGAGCACTGGGTGACTCCACTCTCTGACAGTTTTTTGATGCTTTTCTATTCCCAGTTGTCAAAACGTTTAGGGAAATGCGTTTTTAGGAATTACTAAATTTAAGGATTTTTTTTCCCCCTCCCCAAACTGGAAATACCTGGAGCAACTAAAGGGGCTGGGAAGGGAATGGGGAATTCCTGAGGGAGCTGGGAAGGGAATGGAGAATTCCTGAGGGAGCTGGGAAGGGGCTGGAGCAGGGAAGGGGCCGGAGCAGGGATGGGAGAGGCCCCTGGCCTCAGCGCTGGGGCAGAGCCGATTTCCAGCAAGGCAGATTTTCCCCTGCTTTGTGCCGGGAAGGCAATTTCCAGCCTGCCCACCAAATTACAGGCTGCTAGGAATCATTTCATCCATCTGATAATTACGAGATTAACCAGAGCTCTCCATCCAGCAAGAGTTCATCTCGCACACGGGGTGGGCTGGAGCTCGTTAGTTGGGACTGGCTGGTTTTAATTCAAAAGGGTAAAATAGCCCTGTACACCCAGAAAAAAACCCAATTTCCTCTCCAGCTGCCATCAGCTGCATTTTTTTCCATTGAAAAGCAGCTCTGCCCAGGGAAATGGCAGGTGAGGGCGGGAGCCCAGCTCTGCAGCCCCGGGAGATGCTGAGGGGGTTTTACAGATGATTTTGGCACAGGGCAGAACCCCGGGGCTCTGCTGTTCCTGCCCCAGCGTTCCCAAAATCCCAGCAGGGCCCGGGACCTCAAACTCACCTGGTCAAACATCACAAAGCAACATTTCTCATGAGGCTGGGAGGAATTGTGGATTTGCCTTTCCAAACGAGCTGGAAGATAAAACCAGCACTGAGAAATAAAAGAAACAACGGGAAGGATTCCACTGATTGAGGAATGGAAAAAGATATTTCCTTTTACAAATATAATTTAGGTTGGCTAATAAATGACACTGGATATTGAAATATGAAAGAAGCAACGGGGAAAACCCCTAAATTCCGTGAGAATTAAAAACTAAAAGGGAGGGTTGGGCATTAGAGGGGAATCTTTGGTATCAGGTGTTTAGGGAAGACTGAACCTCCCAAGTACCTCAGCCATGGGGAAAGAGAGAGGGAAATGTGGATAAAAAGGAGGCTGAGCCCTCCAAAAACTGGGAGACCGCAGGGAAATGCCCCCTGGCCTCTCCCTTTATTCAAATAATGCAAAAGGGCTCCTCTGTCTCCTTTTTGGACACAAACCTCTGGTGTTTGTGGGTGAATTTTCCTGACAAGGGCAAAGGTGATAAAGCAGCAAATCCAGGGGTGGAAAAGGGATTTCATCCTTGCTCCAGTGCCATGGGTCCTCATGGAGAAGGGAATTTGCAGGCACAGCTAATTCCACCTTTGGGTTCCAGGGGCAGCACCTTCAGCATCACTTCCAGAGCTCCCGGGGATCCTCTTCTGGTGCTGGAGCTCCCTAGGGAAGGGATTCACAATTAATTAATTAACCCCAGCGCTGCAATTAACCCCAGCCCTCGCTCTGATGCCTTTGCTCTGGCTGTACAGGAGGGGATCAAAGGGCTGCTCTCACAGCAGCCTCTTAATTACCAAGCTGCTAATGAACCACATCCTTCCTCAGCACTTGGGATCTCTCAGGAAAAGTCCAGGAGCTCCAGGTGTTGGTAACCAACGTTCCCTGCCCGGAGTTCATCACTGGGGAGGTTCTGCTTCCAGGCACTGCTGCCAGGAGGTGAAGAGACGGGAAATATTCAATCTGGGTGGAAGGGAAATATTCAGTTTGGGTGGAAGGGAAATATTCAATCTGGGTGGAAGGGAAATATTCAATTTGGGTGGAAGGGAAATATTCAGTCTGGGTGGAAAGGAAATATTCAATCTGGGCGAAAGGGAAATATTCAGTTTGGGTGGAAGGGAAATATTCAATTTGGGCAGAAGGGAAATACTCAGTTTGGGTGGAAAGGAAATATTCAATCTGGGTGAAAGGGAAATATTCAGTTTGGGTGGAAGGGAAATATTCAATTTGGGCAGAAGGGAAATATTCAATCTGGGTGGAAGGGAAATATTCAATCTGGGTGAAAGGGAAATATTCAGTTTGGGTGGAAGGGAAATATTCAATTTGGGCAGAAGGGAAATATTCAGTTTGGGCGGAAGGGAAATATTCAATTTGGGCAGAAGGGAAATATTCAATTTGGGTGGAAGGGAAATATTCAATCTGGGTGGAAGGGAAATATTCAATTTGGGCGGAAGGGAAATATTCAATTTGGGTGGAAAGGACCTGAAATCCCATCCCATTCCACCTCCCAGGCTGCTCCAAGCCCTGTCCAGGGACATTCCAGGGATCCAGGGCAGCCCCAGCTGCTTGGGAATCCGTGCCAGGTCCTCGCCTCCCTCCCAGGGAACAATTCCTGCCCAATTCCATCTTTATCTAAACCCAAAGACTGCCCTTGGAAAGGCACCTGAAGGTCCAGGGAGTGAATCCTGCTCCAGAAACAGAAAACTCCTTCCCTAATTCCCATTTTACCTGACATCCTAGCCAGGCCATGGCTTCATGTGCTCCGTGAAACGTTCCCGAGTGCCTCGGCTGCTCTGCTCGCGGCCCCTCCGTGGGGATGCAGACATCGAACAGCTTCCGAGCACTCCTCAGCCACTAATGAAACACATTCCCGACAGGTAATTAATGAAACACATTCCCGACAGGTAATTAATGAAACACGGCCCTGGCTCCAGGTGCAGCTGTTCTCCAGGGAAAACGGGCTGGGGCAGGGCTGGCAGGAGGAAATTGGAGCCCTGAGAGGAGCTGAACCCCGAACTTGGGAAAGATCTAAAAACCACCAGCTATTTATAACTCTGCCCCTCATCACCTATGGATGAGCATAAAAGGTTTTTCCCTCCAGGGAGAGGTTTGCATCTGGATGAAGGATGGGAAAAGGAATAAAGTTCTGTCAGAGAGCGGCACCACGAGTGCCTTTCCGTGTCGGGCTGCTCTGAGTGCTCCTCCATCCATAATGCAGATTATTCCCACTCCAAATATATCCCTGTCCTCGGGAGCTGCCGAGCTCAGCCCTGGAACCCAGCGGGGTCGGGGCAGGGGCTGCCCTGGGATTGGGATCCAGGGGCTCCCAGGGTGGGTTCTGCTGGAGCTGCAGCCCCTGGGATGGGCTGGGGGTCCTGGGGCCACGGGGATTTGGGATGTGGGGCTGGGCTGGGCTGGGGGTCCTGGGGCCACGGGGATTTGGGATGTGGGGCTGGGCTGGGGGTCCTGGGGCCACGGGGATTTGGGATGTGGGGCTGGGCTGGGTTGGGGGTCCTGGGGGATTTGGGATGTGGGGCTGCAGCACCTTTAATTGGGCTTTTTACACCCCTTTAACTGGGCTTTCTGAGCCTCTTTAATTGGGCTTTTTGTGCCCCTTTAATTGGGCTTTCTGTGCCCCTTTAATTGGGCTTTCTACGCACCTTTAATTGGGCTTTTGTGCCCCTTTAATTGGGCTTTCTATGCCCCTTTAATTGGGCTTTCTACGCGCCTTTAATTGGGCTTTTTGTGCCCCTTTAATTGGGCTTTTTGTGCCCCTTTAATTGGGCTTTCTACGCCCCTTTAATTGGGCTTTNTCTACGCCCCTTTAATTGGGCTTTTTGTGCCCCTTTAATTGGGCTTTTTGTGCCCCTTTAATTGGGCTTTCTGTGCCCCTTTAATTGGGCTTTCTGTGCCCCTTTAATTGGGCTTTCTACACCCCTTTAATTGGGCTTTCTGTGCCCCTTTAACTGGGTATTTTGTGTCCATTTAATTGGGCTTTTTGTGCCCCTTTTACTAGGCTTTCTACGCCCGTTTAATTGGGTTTTTTGTACCCCTTTAATTGGGCTTTCTACACCCCTTTTACTAGGCTTTTTGTGCCCCTTTAATTGGGTTTTTTGTACCCCTTTAATTGGGCTTTCTGTGCCCCTTTAACTGGGCTTTTTGTGCCCATTTAATTGGGCTTTTTGTGCCCCTTTTACTGGGCTTTCTACGCCCCTTTAATTGGGTTTTTTGTACCCCTTTAATTGGGCTTTCTCTGCCCCTTTAACTGTTTTTTTTTGTGCCACTTTAAATGCGCTTTTTGTGCCCCTTTAACTGGGTTTTTTATGCCCATTTTACTGGGCTTTTCGTAGCCCTTTAATTGGGTTTTTCATGCCCCTTTAACTGGGTTTTTCTGCACCAAAGTGGAGAAAGGCCACAAAGCCAGGCGTGCCCGATGCCAGCTGCCAGCACAGGGAATTTGCCCTCCTGGAGCACCCTGGGCGCTGCCCTGGCCGGGCCCCAGGCTCTGGCACGGCTCCCAGCTGCTCTGTGCCCTGCCGTGCCCAGTTTTCCCTCTCCAGCAGCTTCCTGAGGAGTCCCGGGGATCACAGATGCTGGAGGTGCAGCGGCCCCAAGGAGGACCAGCCTGGGTCAGCCTCCAGCTCTGAGCCCTGCTCAGGAGGGAGCCAGAGCCAGGAAACCTCAGTGAGGTGCTGGATTTTCATCCGTGCCATGCAAGGGTTTGTTCTCCCTCTCTGCACTCTGAAGAGACGGTTTAATTGTTGAAACGCTGAATTGTTTAAATGAAATTAAAATCATTATCCAATTAATTCAATTTTAGGATTAATTATTGAATATGATAAGTATTTCTGCTTTGAAACACCTCTTGGGGTTGCTTTGGGAAAAGCTCCTCTTGTGCTGAGGGAGCTGAGAAGATCCCAATCCCATTCCACCCTGAAAACTCCTCGTTCCTGTTCACCACCAGCCCTGCCATTAACCGGCTGATGGAGGAACCCACCTGGCTTTTCCTTGGGAATGTGTGCAGGGAATCCTTGGATATCCCAATCCCATTCCACCCTGAAAACTCCTCGTTCCTGTTCACCACCAGCCCTGCCATTAACCAGGTGATGGAGGAACCCACCTGGCTTTTCCTTGGGAATGTGTGCAGGGAATCCTTGGATAATTACCTGTGAGAAGAGAAGAGCTTCCCGAGCTGTGTTTTAAATGAGCTGAGGGACTGGAATCCTTCTCCCTTTAATTAAACTCCTGACACATCCCATACTTCACCTCTCCGTTAGCCTTGGACCTCTCCAGGCCGGAAATTCCATCAGGAATGCCTGGAAGGGCTGAGGGAGAGGGAGAGGAAGATCCTGTGTGGAGAGAGCATCCCCTGCCAGGACCTGCTGGCTGTGGCCTTGTAAGGCTCTGTTGTCAGTGTTCAGGAACACCCAAAATCACGGGATATGATTCCATGCAGGTGCTTTTATTGAGAGCTCTGGGATCAGGGGATGTGGGAATCCAGGACATCCCTCTGGCTGCCCTGGGA